AGCTGCTCCTCCCAGACAGGAGTGTAAAATGAGGTCCCCAGAACCATGCCACCGGACTCTGCACCAGGCTGTTTTTACTCAGGGAACCCTAGAGGGGGGTGGGCAAGAGCCATCCCCGCCCCAAGGGACCAAGCACCGGCAGCCGGCCTCCACTACCCAACCGCCATCATGCTCCAGGCTGCTTTCCAGACACTTGGGCCGAGTCTTATACAAGAGTGAAGTCCCACGGAACCCAGATTATGTGGAACACTTTTTCGTTATGTACAAAAAGTATTAAAATATTCTATGAGTTCACCAAAAGGGTATGCCCTGCCACAGAGGCAGGGTGGGATGGGGGGGATGGGGAGTGGGAGGGATACTGGGATCCATGTTGGCAGGAAATGGGCGTTGGTGGAGGGATGGGTATTTGATCATTGTATAATTGAAACCCAAACAGAAAAATGTGTAAGTCTACAACTGTACCTCATGGTGTCTCACTAAAAAAAAAAAAAAATCATCAAGAAAAATAAATAAATAAATAAAATCTCAGAAAAAATTCTATGAGTTCTAGAGTTTTAATATGCAAACAATACATCCTATAAGGTCCATAGATAATTTTTAGTGGGTCTATAAAAGTCCCATTATTTTTTAAAATACCAGTGTGCTGGTGTGCATTAGTGTATTTTTCTATGTAAAACAATTGTTTCTACCAGTCTCTCAATAGTTTTCTATAATAGTTTTCTATAACCATTGAAACAAATTTAAAAAATTTCAGTGGCTTAAAACAGTGAATATTTATTTTCTAATAGTTCTGAAAGTCAGAAGTTTGAAATCAAAGTATTTAATCAGTTAGGAGAGTCATCTCAGCTGGCTGAGCAACAGTTTTTTGATCCCAAGCACCATGCAGTTTCATGAGGACTACTGGCAGTTCCTGATTAAACTCCTTCTTCAATATCCTATTTCCTTCCTTTTCCCTGTTTGTAGAGGCCACCTGCATTCTGGTTTGTGGCCTCTTCCTACACTCCATCCAACTTCTTACTTCTGTTGCCTCCTCTATTATTCACTCTGATCTCCTGCCTCATATCCTTCTCATTAGATTTGGCCCTCTCAGGTACTCTAGAATATGATCCTGTGTTCCATAATCACATAGGATCATGGAACATTTACATGTCCACACTCAGACACACTTAGAAGTTCGCTTTGCTGTATAAAACAATGTTCACCAGTTCTGGGTATCAGAATGTGAACATCTTTGGGAAAGCTTTTATTTCATGTACCATGAGTCAATGCCCTAAAGTACTATCTTAACTGACTTATTGTACAACTCAGACAATTATTTCTCCAAATTCACTCATCCTACCATTTCCTGTATACAATGGCTTCCTCTTACTTATCAGATCAATGTACTCTTTGAGCCCAACATTTAAGATCATCAGTCAATTGGTCCCAGTGGATCCCATGGATCTCTCCAATTTCATTCAAGTTTTCCAGCTGAAACACTCTAAGCGCTTCCCTGATAAAGCAGTATTATTCCCACTCTAGTCTGGCTCAGTTTGCCTACCAAGAATAACTTCTGACTCACTCCTCTCCACCACTGTAATTTCCTCCCTTTTTTAATCAGACCTGTCATTTATCTTCATCATGTTTTCCTTTATGAAACCTGAGTGATGGTTGACCAATACTATAATCATGAATTATTTTGAATCACCCTCTAGTTGAGGATGAGCAAATATTCTAAGGACAAAGCCTCTTTAACATTTCTTTAAAAGCCTAAGAGCTTATGAATTTTTTTTAAATCTTTTCCACTGTCCCCCTCGAAAACAATTCTATATTTCACAAATGCACTGTGTCCTCCATTCTGGCCTTTTCTTTATCTTACAATAATAGTTACTTTGAAATATGGGTCATTATGTGGCCTACCCACTTAATCCTTTCCCATAGCTTACAATATCATCTTTCATGAACTAACCACACTTACTATTCTTTTTGCTGTTGTTTATTTGCTTTTTATCCACACTCAGTGATACTCAGGGATTACCCCTGGCTCTAAACTTAGTAATTACTCCTGGAAGTACTCGGGGGACTATATGAGATGTCAGGGATTGAACCCAGATCAACCATGTGCAAGGCAAATACCCTATCTATTGTACTACGGCTCTAGTGCCTATACTTTCTGTTCTAAGATCAAATCTCATCATTTCTCCCTAAAAACTCTTCTCTCTCTTCCTTCACATTTAATCAAATAATTTAATGTCTGATTCTCAGCTCTGCCTTGTCATCTCCAGATCCCATGATTTTGATTGAAAAATTTTCTTGCTTGGTATTTGAAAGATTTTTTTTTCTTTTTGGGTCACATCCACAGGGGTTACTCCTGGCTCTGCACTCAGGAATTCCTCCTGGAAGTGCTCAGGGAACCATATGGGATGCTGGGAATCGAACTCAGGTTGGTTGCTTGCAAGGCAAACGCCCTACCTGCTGTGCTATACTTCAGTCCCATTGAAAGAGTTTTTAATTAATTGGTCATCTCCTGAGTGAATCTATGACCTTTAAACTTGAGTCACTGTCACTGTCCACCCATTGTTCATCGATTTGCTGGAGTGGGCCCAGTAACCTTGTGAGACTTATTACTGTGTTTGGCATATTGAATACGTCACGGGTAGCTTGCCAGGCTTTGCTGTGTGGGCAAGATACTCTTGGTAGCTGGCCGAGCTCTCTGAGGGGGTTGGCCATGTTGGCTGCATGCAAGGCAAACACCCTACCCACTGCTATCGCTTCAGCCCCACTGAAAGAGTTTTTAATTAATTGGTCATCTCCTGAGTAAATCTATGACCTTTAAACTTGGGTTAATAAAAAAAATTATCCTCTTTATCTCTATGAACATGATGACTGGGTAAATGCAAAATGAAGCAGAATTTCTTCCTATAAACTTATTGAAGCAAATATATGAAACAAAATGACTGAATTAGAATGCATTAAGAAACAGTGACTGCTAACAATGGCAACAACAAGAAAGAGTGAAAAGTAGACACCATGTGCCTCCTAACAAAGAATGCCAGACCTAGTTTTGTCAGAGATTTAACTAAGTCTGGTACAATCTCTGGGCACAGTTCCTGACTTGCAGAAAAACACAGAAGTCTGAGAAATTAGCTGAAAGGCACTTTGATGATACAATTAGCAAAATCCAGAATTTTGTCAACTAAATAAATGAAATGATCAAAGTTCTTCATAGATAAATCATAGAGAAAGGAATTAAAGGGAAATCTATAGATTCAAAAAGTTCTAGTGCCGGAGAGATATTACAGGTCTTTCAGTGTATGTCTCACACATAGACAACCTAGTTTACATCCCTGGAAACACATATGGTCACCTGAGCACTGCCAGGAAAAGTAATTTCTAAACAAAGATCCAGGAATAAGCCCTTAACATCACTTCCCAATCACCTCCCTTCATATCTGTCCCCAGACACCCACCCTCCACACACACACACATACACACACACACACACACACACACACACACACACACACACACACGAAAAACTAAAAGAAAAGAGACCTGAAACAGAGTCTAGGAAAATAGCTCAGCTTTTGTATGCAGGAGGCCTATGTTCTATATGCAGCACCATATGGTCCCCTGTGCAATATAGGTGTGGATCTGTCACACAGAGCCTGGGCCAACTCCTGATCCCTGTTAGTAACCTGTCACTGTCACTGTCCTCCCCTTGTTCATCGATTTGCTCGAGCGGGCCCAGTAACGTCTCCATCATGAGACTTTGTGTTAGTAACCAAACCACTCAAAACAAATAGAAATTAAGGATAGAAATAAAGGATACCTAAAAAAGATATCTAATAAATATATATCTAGGAATATATCTTTTCATCATAAAATCAAAAACAAATACAGACAGGTATTTTAAAAACCCAGTTCAGGGTATCATGAAGTACAGAAAAACTTTGGGGACAGCTGACCCAAATACTGAGTTCAAGTGTCTAAATTCATATTTCATATGGTTTTTCTGTATCCATGCTCTTTACTTAAAATGTTACAAACTATGTCTGACATGTTTATTCAGTGAATGAATGTGAGAATGTTGCTTGAATAAACAGAATAAACAGTCAAGGACCTTAACAATGAACGCTTAAGAGTAACTTTTACTTGCCTTTTTTGGTTTCAGTTCCCGGATTTCTAAGCTGAAGAGTTTAGATTTAAAAACAAAATAACTTAGTACCCTTTCAGTTTTAGGATCCAGTAACTGAAACTTTTAATAGTGAACTATTGTTGATCACTTACTACAAGCCTTGCAGAATTTGTCAACGAATCTTTATCAGAGACAAGACTTAGAGTCACTGACCAAAGACACTGAATGTGCAAGTGGCTTGAATTCAGAGGCAGTCAAATCAAAAACTACACCGAGAGGCCAGTTGTGCTGATGGTGGTAGGGATGGTTGTTTTTCACTTCGGGCATGCTGCTTGAACAACAAATAAAAATGAAACGGAAACGTCATCAGAATTGAGAGGTTGATTTTTTGAGTTCAAATGTATCTCTAACAATTGGGACTTTTGGATATGTCACTTAGATTTGTTGTACCTAATCCATTGTCTGCAAACGGAGTTGATCTACCTCTCTACCTCATGGGGATGTAATGATGATAACCTATGTAAAGTTTCTATCATAATTTCTAGCACAGAGTAAATACTATGCTATTAACATCAAATAATCTATTTTTATGAATTGAGAATGTATATAAGTGTAGCAAATTAGTCCAAAATTAAACATTGAACTTTAAAAAAGATCTATTTGGGGGGATAGAGAGACTTCGGGCTCCAGGGGGCAGAGTCAGAAGTGAGAGGGGCTCAGGCTCAGAGAGAGAGAGAGAGAGAGAGAAGCAGAAGAGAAGATTGGAATAAATTACAATTGATACTGACCAGCCTTACCCTTGTTCCTTCCTTTACCTGCCCATTGCCATTGACCTCCTCGGGGTGGGGGAAGCGGCGTGAAACTACCTAACACGGGCAGCGGGAGAGATAGAGTGCCGCGGGCCTTTTGAAAACACACACTTGCACAGGGACCATGCCAATCTTCTCTGTATCGTTCCAATTTTAGTATATGTGCTGCCGAAGAGAGCACATATTGAATCAGGCTAGAGCGATAGCACAGTGGGTAGGGCATTTGCTTTGCACGCAGCTGACAAGGCCGACCGGAGTTCGATTCTTCCGCCCCTCTCGGAGAGCCTGGCAAGCTACCGAGAGTATCCCGCCCTCACGGCAAAGCTCAGCAAGCTACCGGTGATGTATTCAATATGCCAAAAACAGTAACAAGTCTCACAATGGAGACGTTACTGGGCCCCCTGCTCAAGGAAATCGATGAATAACAGGAGGACAGTGCAGTGCTACAGTGGAGACATTACACAGTGAGTAAGGCACTTACCTTGTATGCAGGTGACCTGGGTTCCATTCCCAGCACCACAAATGAGTTCCCTAGGCCACCAGAAGTGATCCTTGAGTGCAGATTCAGGGGTAAGCCCTGAACACAGCCAGGATCAAAGCTTTGAGCACAATTTTTGTGAAAGCCCCCCTCAAAAAAAACCCTATTATTTTATTTTTTACTCAGTCAAAATTATTCACATATTCTCAGAACTAAGTTTGTATTATTCAGGGTGACTTAAACAGTATCAAGATACTACTTTTATTTGCGCTATCTTTCTTTCTATGGGAAAGATATTTAGCTGGGTAGTTAAATGCATAAATTATGCTTCTGTGTTTCTGTTTAATTTTTTAAAATGTTTTTAATAGTTACAGGGGCCACATTCAGTAGTGTCCTGTGCCTGAGGTCCCTTTAATTTTGAATCTTGTATTTCTAGGATGATGAATAGTGTCATGATTCACTTAGGCTAAATTCTTACCTGATACCTATAGAAGACTTCAGATTGCCTTAAGACACCTGAACACCTCTGAGTGCTGTTCTGGAGGCCCCCAATGTCCTCCAGGATGAACCTGATGGCTCTCAGCATTAACAGGCCAGAGAGCACTGCTTTCTCTGGCCCTAGATCAACTGCCACCAGATTAGTTGAGTGTCACTGTACATAGCCCTGAGCACCTTGACACTGCTTGGTAGATCACTAAGACCACCACCACTACCATCAACACCATTAACAACACCAACATAGTGCCTTAGGAACTTTATCACTTGTATCACTTGTCTCCCCATTGTTCATCGATTTGCTCAAGTGGGCACCGGTAACATCTCCATTCGTCCTTGTCGCGTGCTAGCATAGCCCAATGGCATATTGGGGGCTCTTTCAGGGTCAGGGGAATGAGACCCTATTATTGTTACTGATTTTGGCATATCGAATACATCACGGGTAGCTTGCCAGACTCTGCTGTGCTAGGAACTTTATAGATATCTTAAATTTCCTATTCAACTTAGGTTCAAATTTGTTCTGCTTTTCAATTTTCCTTTATTATATATAATCTATGGCAGAGCCTGGCAAGCTACCCCTGGCATATTCAATATGCCAAAAAAACAGTAACAATAACGAACCTCATTCCCCTGACCCTGAAAGAGCCCCAGTAGGCCATTGGGCTACACTAGCACATGACAGGGATGAATGGAGTTGTTACTGGTGCCTGCTTGAGCAAACCAATGATCAACAGGATGACAAATGACACGTGACAAGATATATAATCTAAAGATCTATTGCACGTGTGAAGACTTTCTGGCAGAATAAGAGGTGGATTGGATCACATCTGGTGGTATTCAGGGCTTACTCCTAGTTCTTTGCTCAAGAGGCATTTCTGGTGGTGCTCAGGGAACCATACATGATGCTGAGGATCAAACCAGACTCAACCACATGGAAGGCAAATGACTTATGTTTTGTACTATCTCTCCAGACAGAAAGATTTTTTTAGTTTAGTTATTAACTTTGAACCACTCATTAAGTACAATGCAAATGACATAAATTTTCTTATTTAATGAAATAAATACAAAGCATTCAACTGGCAAGAAGCAAACATTACTCAGTAATTATAACTAATAATAAAAGTTTATTATGTTCTTTTCTTAAACATAAGTCAGAGGATGTATGTATGTATTTAAAGTTGCTATATAGTCAACAAATAGCAATTACTCCCATCAGCAAATAGTTTGGCATCTTACAATTAAAGCTTTCTGATTATCTCTTAATTTGTTCTTAAATCTCCATGGTTTTTTTTACCCAAACAAGAATTATGTTATTGAGGCTGGAGTGATAGTACAGCAGGGAGGGCATTTGCCTTGCATGTGACTGACCTGGGTTCAATCCCTGGTATCCCATATGGTCCCCCGAGCACCACCAGGAGTGATTCCTGGATGCAGAGCCAGGAACAACCCCTGAGCATTGCTGGGTGTGACCCATTTCATTTTTTTCATTTCATCATCCTGTTATTCGTCGATTGCCTCGAGCAGCCCCCAGTAACGTCTCTTTCATCCTAGCCCTGAGATTATATTCAAGGCTCTTTAGGAGAATGAGACCCATCATTGTTACTGGTATTTGGCATATTTGGTACGCCATGGGGAGTTTGCCAGACTCTGCCCTGTGGGCAGGCTATATTCGATAGCCTGCAAGTTTGTCCAAAGTAGGGTGTGACCCAAAAAGCAAAAAAAAAAAAAAAAAGTTAGATTATGACCTGGAGAGGTAGTCCAGAGGTCAAGGTCCTTGCCCAGTGTGAGGGACCTGCAGTGACATGTTTGAATCTTGCACCACCAAGTGTGGCCCTTGAGTTCAGATCAAGAAATGGCCCCTTAGCACCAGTGGGTGTGTCCAACACGTCCTCTCCCACAAACGTCAGATTATTTCTAAATCTCAGATGTAAACAACACATTCAGTCTTTCCTTTAGCCCTTCTGTACCAGTCAACACCAAATAATGACATTAATTCACTTATTAGGTAAGCATTATTAAGTGTAAGCAGTGGCCATTGGGGCACAGCAATGATCAGAACTGAAAAGTCTTCTACTCTGAGATAGCTTGATGCAATATTTACAAACATGTTAACAAGGGAAATATAATATTATAAAAAGAGTCAAGGAAAAATCTCTGTTAATGATAAAATAGATCAGTGCCTAGCAACTTACTTTAAGTTATACATTTTTTTAAAAAAATCTATCTAAGAAGAGACAAATTTAAAGTGTGAATTAATTTTTTTAATTTAAAAAAATAAATTAAAATGACTGTAGGATTCAGTCCTATGAAGATCCAAAAAGGAAGAAATCCAGATAGAAAATACAGATAATCAAGTGTCCAAAGAAAGGAAAGGAAGTTAGTCTGGCTGAAGTGGGTAGTTGCAGAGAAGATGAAATCAGAATATAAAGTGAATCTTACAGTCTGACCAAGGACAAAATGACATCTTATAAAGGTAAACATGAGGATAAAAATGGAAAGGTGGTTACTATTTATCTATCTATCCTAAATAAATAAATTAAGGATAAAAGAGACTAATTTCTCACTATCAGATAAAGAAGTTTCAAGTATGGATATGGGAAAAAACTAGAATAAACTGTGGTGTCAGGTTTGAGTTAGGAGTAAAATAAAAAGAGAGATATATATTAAAATATTTGTAGGTACTTGTGTGTATATATGCATGTTTATATGCATGTATCTTTAAAATACATGTGTGTTAAGTGTTCTTTACCTCTGTCCACTGAGAGAACCACAGGGTTGCAACATCCCTGTAACGATAAGTACTCCAAGGGTCCAGATTTTTGGTTTTAAATACTATCCTCCACTAATAGGTACTAGGATGCTACATGTATATCCCCTATTTCAACACTTGAAATAGTAGATAGATAGATAGATAGATAGATAGATCCTATTTCAGTACTAGGCTCCTTGAAGACATACCTAATTCTGGGGCTTGAAAGAACAGTGGATAATGCACTTGCCTCATAGGTACACAACTAGGGTTTGATGCCTCACATAGTACTCTGAACTCTGTCAGGAATGATCCCTGAGCACAAAACTAGGAGTAATGACAATTGACATTGTCATTTGAGCACTGACAATTGTAGTCCTAAAACCAAACCAAAATAAAACAAAAAACAATAAAATAAGGTCTAACTTCTAAATTGGGGCAAAGTGCATGATGTACTTACAATATATTTTGTACGACTGAAATACAATCATGAGCAAATTTGTAATGCTCTGTCTCAAGGTGATTCAATTTAAATTAAAATATATTGTAAGTGAACTATTTGTTGGGTATTCGATCATCGTACAACTGAAACCCAAGCACAAAAATTTGTAAGTCTACAATTCTACCTCATGGTGTTTCACTAATAAAAATTTTAAAAAAAAGATTTCTTCAAAGCTTCAAAGGATTGTCATTATTTTTATTTAGCTAGTGATCTGTGGACAACTTAATTCAAAGCCTGTGTTTTCCTGATTTGATTTAGAACTCATCCAGGTGAAATGGTCTTTTCCTTGAGAATTTTTCAGAAACAATTAAGGACAACTGCCGAATATTATGTCTGCTTGATATGTGGATACATTGAGGGGTAAACTAGAAAAAAATTTTTTTAAAAAAATTGAAGGTTGAAGTGCTTATAATATTCTGATATTTTTGTAGAAATATTTGAAAAATAACAACTGTAAATTTCCCAGATCTAACACAAAATTTGATAGGTTTATGTATTCAAAATTTTTCATAAAGCCAAAGAAGGATAAATGTAAAAAGATCCTTACTGTGATGCGGTGATGCTCACTGTACCATTGGAATTATCATAAACTTGTAAGCACAATGATTAAAATAAAGTTTTTAAAAATCAGTTTCGCTCTGGAAAGAAAGATGGCAGCCACATGGGAGCCTTGTGGAGAGCCAGGTATGAGCCGGTGATGATGGGGCGACTAAAACCTCATGGGAAGGGGGGCGTTCCCAGCTCGTCCTTCACGCCCTACCGAGGTCACCAGTTGCCCCCCACAAGCGGCTCTCCGGCATGGCCATGACTCCAGAGCACAGAAACCAATCTCTTAATTATCTGACTCTCAGTAGAAATACTTCCAGGGTTAATAAGTAAAATAGCAGAAATCCAAAACCGCGTGGCCGTAATAGCATCATTTAATTCTTGAACCCAGCTGTAGAAAGCAAATCATTT